ACTAAATACCTACTCTCATAGATGGCAGAGTCAGAAGCTGTCATATTAAACCCAACAGTTCCCACATTGAGCAAGCCCTTTGGCGACTGTGGAGAGGAAAAACTCCCTCTTTAACTGGAATGGCACGCAGTAGAGTGCACAGTGCCTTACATTTAAATTCACTGATTTTTATTTTTTTAACGCACTCATAAATATCAGTCCCCATGAATTATTCTTTGACAAATCAATGAAAAGTTGAAACCCAGATCCGATTCAGATCCACACAAAAATGTAATGGGTTTTCTTGGATCATGTCCTAGAAATCCATTCATTTGATTTTTGAGTAAACTTGCGTACACCAAACCAACCAACCAAGAAACAAATGGACTCAGGTAATTGGTTTTAGATTTACTTCAGAATGTAAACCCATATCTTTCACTGTTTTCATATGTCTACTGTTTAAAAAAATACTTGCAAAAACATGCAAATCAATATCCTAATGACAGCTGTTAACTATGTGTGTGTGTGTGTGTGTGTGTGTGTGTGGATGCAGGTGAAGTTTATGAAGAGTGTTCCTGGTACAGCATTGGTTGAGATGGGAGATGAGTATGCTGTTGACAGAGCCATCACACACCTCAACAGTATCAAGGTTTTTGGCAAGAGACTCAACGTCTGGTGAGAAGTAGATCAATAGACACACGTACATTTATATTATTTTACTCATTCATATCTTTAACAGTCTGTGCTGCTATAACTGCTATAACAGCAGCACAGACTGGATCTACATTCAAACATTAGTCAAATGTAATATTGCTAAATTAAAGATTTAAAATGTGTCACCTTTCTTAAAGTTTTAGAATATATAGAAACAAGAGATACAGATGTAAGAGTACATAAGTACGTTTTTTTGAATGACCACCAGAGACAGTAGGCAAACCCTGGATACGCATTTTGCACATGCGCATGAGGTCGAGACATGATACCAACAAATGTGCCCACCATAGCAAAGAAATAGAGCATCTGACTGACAGAAGCCAGCAGACAAATCTTTGTACTGCCACAGAGCCCGGGGCAAAGCAGTCTGGCCTCAGTGTACAGGTTATCCATTCCTGGCCCGAGGTAAAAATAGCCAAACTGTTTAATCCTGATTAATATGAAAAACTGAAAGCCTCCTTGGAAGAAAAGAGGGGTTTGGCCAAATGGTAACCCCCGGGGGGACCATCAGTTCCAACAATGGACAGGGCAAATGCACTTACACAGAATATTGAGGCTGCAACTGGAAAACACCCTTAAGAAAACGGCTCACCAAAGGATGAGAACCCACAGTCTGATTGTCCACTATAAAATGCCAACCTGAGATGACAGCCACGTAGACCTTGGTAGTAGACACAGCCCTCCAGAAATGTTTGACTATACCTGAACAATGTAGACAGACAGTACTGCTCAGGGTCCACATCTTGACCCATGCCCCAACAGGAAAATGTTTCCATCTGTTTCGTCCTCTTTGAAGATGCTCAAACATATACAGTAACTGAAGGTGATTTGGGTGTAGATGCCTACTATTTAAAAAAAAAAGTACAAGGTGATGCCATCAGATATTTTATCTGACCAACATATCATTGGCTTTTCTTGGATTTTCAATTCAATTTTATTTGTACAAGACCAAATAATAATATACATCATCTCAAGGCACTTGTCTTAAAAATAGCTTTTATGCTTGATAAATGACAATAATTGTGACCATTTTGTAAAACTTGAATGGATTTTGTAGATTCATGAATAATTGACTTCAATCAAGAATTATTTTAAAATCTATGGACTAAATAAACGAGTAAAAAAAAAGATCTAAGCAATCAGATCATAGACGTACGGTAATAGCCATATCTCCTACTGTGGATATCTGTAGGTCAATCAGTTGTCCTATTGACATGACTTTGATATATTAACATTATTTTTGCTTTTACATACATGGCAAATACAACATGCATCGATACACTGTAGGTTACACAAAAATCTGATTTTGTGTGCAGTGTGTCTAAGCAGCATGCAGTGATCCCCAGTCAGGTCTTTGAGTTAGAGGATGGCAGCAGCAGTTATAAGGACTTTGCCATGACCAGGAACAATCGCTTCAGCAGCGCTGGACAGGCCTCCAAAAACATCATCCAGCCTCCATCTGCTGTCCTGCACTATTACAACGTGCCTCCATGCATATCACAGGACCATTTACTGAGGGTAAGGTTATTCTATCTGATAAATGTCCTGTGTTATTATTAAATTGTTCTAAATACCCTTTAAGTACTGCTCTCCCTGTCCCTCTGTCTTTTGACACAAGTGATCTGGTTTTGCTGAAGTTGTAGACTTAACAGTGTCTATTGCACAAGACATTTGTTGTAGATGTATTTGCCAATCTATAGAGCTTTTTTCCTATCTTTATTCAAGAGCGTGATTTGTTGAATTTACATAAATTCAACAAGTCATGCTATCAAACTGAAAGACCACATTCTTGAAAAAAGATAGGAAAAACATGCTTTACCAATCCAGGGTTGGATCCATGATGTTTGTGATATTATGTGAACAGCAGATATTGGATAATCCCATGTAGATATTAAGTATGTAAATATATATGCAACACATGTTATCACATATTATATTTCACAGACATTTTAAGAGTCTTTGGATTTAGTTATCCCAACTCTGCTTGTTCTAGCAGTTTCATCATCAAACCATACAGAAGAGAGAGAATTATATTGATGCAGGGAGGAGCAGTGTGTAAATGTATTTAAATGTAACTGCTTGCTGTAGACAGATTGAGACCAAGGGCCTCATTTATAAATCACAGTCTGGAAATGTGTGTATCTGGATCAGCTTCATATCCTGCCCTCTACACATATCCATTCAACTGTAAAGGGTCAATGCAGCGCACCTCATGTTGGATAACCCAGTTGATCAATGTTTTTTATGGTGAAGGATGGCAACAAGTGAGAAGAGGCACAACATTTTGGTCACTGAAAGTGAGGTGCTTCTAAGGTGATCAAAGACAAATAGTTCAATGACCACAGGCAGTGGTATCACACATAAAAGAAAATACACCAAGTAGCAATGTGTGTCCAAAACTGTAGGCATTATTAACCTGATGGTTGTGTTATCCCCAACCTATAGAATTGAACTTACTTATATTATTCCCAAAATGGGAAGGTAATCATTATATAGTGTTAAAAGTATCAAACACATATCTGTTGGCAGATTCTCATCAGAATCAGTGACATCTTTTAAAGGATCAAACCCACCTTTAAAAGATGTCACTGATTCTGTCCAATACTGCACCCAGTTCAGCACATGGATCCAGGACGTCTATAGGGAATCTGATTAGCCAGTCATCATCATTACAAGAACTCATTCCCTTCTAATCCTTCAATTTACGTATTCCCTCATCAGTGCCAGTGCATCCATCATACAGTATTGAGCGTCACAGCAGTATTTTGTTCAGACTGATAACTTCACACTATTACAAAAATTCTGCAACTCTGTAATGCCGTTGTATGGTATCTGAGTGTAATTTGCTTGAGGTTTAATTATATCTTTTTCAATTGAAGGTGCTTATTGGAGCACAAATAACACTGCAGGTTTAATGTGTGACAAAGTTCATGACAAATCTGTCTGCAAATCACCACCTCTCATCGGTGATGCCAATTGCCAATCTCCAAAATGTCCGTACAGATGTGCTCATTATTCCATCAAATTAGTTTATATAGATCCCACTTTTGCGTGGAAAGGGGCATATGGAGCTTTCACACCACCTTTTATATGTATGCAACAGTCATGTTTCAACTTTACACATTCATTAGCTGTTGTGTGTTTTTTGGCAGCTGTGTACGGAGCATGATGTGCCTGTCTTTGTCAAATTCAAGATGTTTGATGCCAAACGTGAGTATTTTTTTCTTCTAGTTTATGAAGTACATATTCTCCTTTTGTCGTCAGCATGTGAAAAAAATGATTCTCTCACTTGTGTGTGAACTGGTGGTTAAATTTTTTTCTCACATTCTATATTTTTCTTTTAGCCTCCTCCAAGACCATCTCTGGCTTGTTGGAATTTGAAAATAAGACAGATGCTGTGGAGGTTCTTACTGTTCTCAACCATTACCAGATCAGGATACCCAGTAAGCCTATATACCCTAGTAACACTTGTATAATAAATGTCAAATTTGTCAGTCTCATGCAGCATGAATATATTTACATCGGCAAGTAAAATATATGCACTGAAAAGTATTTATTAAATAATAATACTAGAGATGTAAAACCATAATAACGCTGACATTATATTGATATTACTTTGTGGCAAACAGAAAACAATATATCCAGCTCCATTGCTCAATAATAATAAAAGGTATTTGTGTACCACTTTTCAAAACAAAGTTACAAAGTTTTGTACAAGTCTAAAACCGGATAAAAACGATTGAACTCAATAAAATCAAGTTATTCAAATACAAAGAATACATTGAATAGAATAAAAAGTGACAAAAACCCCAACAATGAAGACAAATGCTACAAAATGAAAAGCAACTAAGAGATGCTTGTAAAAAGAACGTGTGCTAAAAGGAATTAAAGGCTTTCGTAAAAAGATTTGTTTTGAAAAGTGATTTTAAAGAAGTCACAGATTCTCCAAGCCTCAGATCATCAAGCAGGGAGTTCCAGAGCTCAGGGGCCCTGACCAAAAGAGTTCATCATCCTTACTCCTGATGTAGGATTCAGGAACAATCAGCAGAGCTCTTTCTGAATACCTGAGGCTGTGCTCATAGTGGAGGAGGGATTCAATAAAAAACCCTCACTGATTTGACGCAGGTTGGTGTCATTGTGATTCACACAACTCCTCAATGAAGCAATATTGAACAATTTGAATGTGTTAAATATTGAAAATAAAAATGAAATAGTCAAATATCAGAATCATCAGCTCACTTTGTGATGGACTCCTGGATTTGGTTGCTGGATGTTTTTGTCCCTTGCGGCCATGTTGTAGTCAGGTTCACTTTCATCAAAACTAATTTGATTTCAGTAATTGCAGTGGAAGCAGGAAGAGTGGGAAAATAAAGCTTTGCACTTTTAATGCCTAAAGGGATCAGCTGAGCTATTGGCTGATGTGGGCTGACACAGAGGTCTGCTGCTCCCAGCTGATGTACTGGCTTGTGGCTGAGCTTGACTTTGCAGCCTGCCTGAGCAAATGCTATGTTCATCATAATTACATGTCTACAGTAATTGTAAAGGCAAAACGTCATATATCAAATCTGACCAGTTTAATCTGTGGAACTCTAAGACTATTGGTAGACTGCTTGACTAAAAAACCCTGTTCAGACCTGGTATTAAGATTCACTTTTCTTGAATGTTGTGTAGTGTGCAAGTATGGGTTATCGCAAAATCTTTTTCTGTGTGTGTGTGTGTGTGTGGTTTCAGATGGGTCCAACCCATACACACTGAAACTGTGTTTCTCCACCTCGTCACATCTATAAAAAGCTGCAGAGCACCAGAAGAGTTTGCTGAGAGTTGATGTCTGACCTCTGACGTGGGGGAGGGACCATGGGACAGACACATAGAAGAGTGGATGAGAGATAATGAGTGATAATATTCACGAAAGAAGAGAATGAGAGAGAGATGGAGACCAAGATGATGAAGTGAAGACACTCACCATCTCTATTGTATCATCTCACCATCCAGCCATAACTTTAAAGCTGACAGACTATCGACTGTCTGTAATATTCTAATAATGTCTTCATATTGTCTCGTGGGACGTCTGGAGGAAACTGATCATGTTTTAGTCCCAGAAGTCTTCACTGCATGGTAAAAGTGTCTTGAAGTGTGGACCTAGACAAACAGAGGCTGTCTCTAAGGAATCTATACATCGTTGGTCACACATAAGGATCTAAAATCAGAATCAGTGCTCATGGCAGATGGTGACTAAAGCTTATTTTAATGTTTAAAACTGAACAAAACAGTGTATTGCCTTGAATTGTCATTGAGTATATGTAGTGAATATGAATATAATTTTAACACAAGTTCTCATATAAGGTTCATTAGATGTCGCTTCACTGTTTAGTTCAGTCACTTTAGAGTTAGATATCTGGCCAGTTGTTGAGTTTGCTGTAAATGTTCGTGGTCCTCAGAGGAAGTGACCCTCTTACATGGCTTTTCCCATACCACCAGCATAAGGTCAGTCAGCAGTATGTTGTGTGACAAGGTATATGGGAAATTAAAGGCATTCAATTTCAAATTAATATCAATGTTTTCCAGATGGTTGTTTTGAAAAGGCTTCTTCAACTTTTCCTCCATCACAAACCTCAGAGCACAACACTGAGCAATTCATTGAGCCCATTTTGGCCTCATGCAAGAATATTTCCCCCAGAATTGGACATTAAGAACAAAAAAAAGAAGAACTTAACAAGTCCATGTATTGAAGTCCTGTCCAGTTAACAGCATAACAACACTCAGGACCTGCAGTGCTGTTGATGCTGTGTCACCTGTGAGTTGCACTGAAATAAAGAAAACATGTTCCAACATGAAAACGGCTTAAAAAGGCTTCACTATGGTAAACAAATAGAAAAAGTTTATATCACTGATATAGATGAACCAATATGTGGCATAAAAGGTGATGTTACACTGGCATGTTTTTGCTTGTGCTGGATCAGTAGACCTATGTTAATTGCAATATTGTACAATACGCAGCAAGCCAAAATAATTTCACATCTCTGGCCACAAACTGTGTCAAGGCACATCAATCAACTGTGCACTCTATCAAGGTTGTTATATGAGCACTCCTGGCTAGTATTCAGGTTGACAAGAGGTATCATGAACAAGGAGGTTTTAGCATTACCTTTATCACCTGGAGAAAATAGTGAACTTTAGTTAAATTATCTTAAAATATCTTCATGGCGTCAAGTAACAAATGACAAGTCACTTAAACAAGCCATCTCTAAGCATGCCTTGCACAAGACGCTTCCCAGCTGCTCCAATTGCACATTTTGCAGCACAAAGGAGTTGTGTGCTCCCCTGGCCATTGCGCAACAGCATTTATCAGGAACATTAATAAATTATGAAATATTATATTTCAAATTGCAAAATTAAAGAGAATAAAAAGAATAACACAAATTTGATGTGTGATTTGTACATTTAAATGTGAATTATCATGTCACTCCTTCATATCTGCAAAATATGGGAAAATTGGTGAATGCTGCAAGTCCTCGTAAATCACTAAGTACTACCTAAGAACAAGAAGTCCATATGAGCAGTTCTTGCATGAGGCCCATTGATTCTGCTCAGACATCCACCTCTTTGCATTTTGGATAATCCATTATTTTTACATTAGTGTCACCCAAAATATGAACATTAATTTAAGATACCAGATGATCCATTAGTTTCCTAATCAGTCATGTTTACAAAGAGATGAACCCTTTGGAATTTAATACTTATTTTCTCTAGTACCACTTCCATGACAAATCCTATTTTCAGCACCACCTCTGGTGAGGCTGTAAAAATAGTTCAGTCTTTCTAATTATGTGCAATGAAATTACAGCTTTCTTGTTTGACAGCAGAGGCACAATATTTTATCGGCAGCTCAGAATAGAATGATGTCAAGACACAGTTAACAAAACAAAAAGATGGAGCCGATCAAAATGATGAATCTGTGTAAAGTTTGCATGTTTTGGCCGTGCTTGCTTGGATTTAATCAGGCGGTTGCGGGTTAGGTTAACTTGCATCTCTAAATTGCTTGTAGTTATGAGTGCGATGGTTTATCTACTTTTTTGGGCTTTGCCCAGACTCTAGATGCTCGCTGGCGAGCTCTGCTCCCAGGTCTGGCTCCAGGAGAGCTTCTTTCCTTATTGTAATGCATTTCCCTTGAAACAGCTAACAGTCAAGTAATTCACTATAAACCAATACATAATTGACTTACCCAGCAAGTACCATCTTTGAGGGTATGGCACCACTGAACACAAGTCGGGTTTGAAAAAGTTAATTTTGATCCCTTAACATAAGAGTGAATTCACCTTGAAATATCTGAAAATGCAGTGTTGACTAGTCTGTCAAAGTAGAACAAGGAAAGGAGGCTAAACTTCCATCCAAACTTTGGAATTATACAATATAAAGGAAATGTTGCTGTTTCATATAAAAAGCATATTCAGTTTTTTCCTAATATTTTTTTTTTTTTTACTATCTAATGCATTTCTTTTTTTACTTTGCTTGAAATGTGTGAGTAAATGGGGGTCAAGATAAGATTAGCATATATGGATCACAGACTGGGCCCAAGGCCCTGAAAGGTCTGATTGTCCCTGGGCAAGAGCCTCTGTATTAACTGACTTGTTGTTATTTGTAGCTTAAAAGTCATAGTGGTCAGTTAAATGATATAAAATGATGATGCAAAACGGCTTTCGGACGATTGAAGGCCTGTTAACCTGTCTGCGCCCACACACCCATGTTCCCTGTTCATGTCCTGAATGACTTATTGGATGGTGCTGGATTGGATGGACACACTTAGCTTCTTTGAGACCAGTTCTTTGGTGAAGTTGAGTACAAACAGCAGATTGTTTCGCCTAGTAACTCTTGGACTTGCAGAATTCACTGCACCAAGCTTAACTTTTAGTTCAGCAGGATGAATCAGAATGAAGGTATGCTTCCATTCTTATGTATTGATAAGTTAACGGTGTGAAAACTTTAGACCTGAATGATGATTCCCACAAATTCTGCTCTTAAATAAAAGCCCCCTTAGATGTTGTGCAACAGTTTCATTTAATGGACAAAAACGTTTATATATCTTATATTTGATTGTCTTAAATCACTTGATCCTAAGTGTATTTCTGATGAGGTTTTATTTATTTATTTATTCATTTTTTAAGCCTTTAAGGGAGTTAGATGAATGGGCACTATCTCGTTATTTTAGGCTATAAAGGTTTAATGTTGTCCATTGTGTGTAATCACAGACAAGACATGTAGAAAAATAGAAGTATATTGTGCCATTCATTTAAGAATGTGGTGTAAATGTATAAAGTGAATAAATCCAAGTCTTTGGCTGCAAGGTCACAACTCAGATCTGCTTTTTTCCATGTGACTTCAATTCATGTTGTATAAGATATTGTTCAATTTTACAGCACTCGTCAACAGAATAAAATGTCATACATCATAAGAGATGCCTCAGTTCAGTTCGGCTGGTACTTTATTGTCCTGCTGAGGCAAATTTGATTTGCAGCAAGGCACAGATAAAACAAGGACAATGTTCACCTATAACAACAAAAAAATCATTAAACTTATAGACCCACATCCAACCTCCCATTTATTTCTATCCTTGAAAAAACTGTTGCTAACCAATTATGTGACTACTTGCACAGGAATATTTGTTTGCAGACTTTCAGTCAGAATTTAGGATCCATCACAGCACAGAGACATCTCAGTTAAAAGTTACTAATGACCTTATCATGGCCTCAGATACTGGACTTGTCTCTATACTCCATGGGTTATGAGATTCTGTTACAGAGACTGGAACAACATGTATGGACTAGCAATTCAACATTAGGTGGGTTTAAATCACACTTATCAGGTAATGTGTTTATGTTAACCATGACTTTTCCATGCAGACAAAAGTTATTCATGCAGTTCCTGAATATTCTGTAACGGGCCGATACTTTTTACTTTATACATATGTTTCTTTTAGGCAATATTATCAACCACATACATTTCTATTGTTACACAGATGATACACAGCTGTACTTATCTATGAGGCCAGATGAATCTAATCACTAAGTTCAACTTCAGGAATGTCATAAAGAAATACACTTTTTATTTCTCACCTCTATGCTGATGTTTGTATATGGTCCCTTTTCCTTTGTTAAATTCTGAGAAGTATAGCCAATTAAAGGGAAGGGCAAATTAATTCACATATTGGTATAATATTGTTTCAAATGACAGAAATTTCACACATGAAAATGAAAAGAAAATGTTTTAACAAATGTATTGCATAAAGGAAACTGGGGCTTATACATAATCAACTGACTGTGTTACAGCTCCCTTCTGCTCTGGGTCCTATAAGGTTATGATGTGCTGGAGAAAGGAGGTCCACCTTACAAAATTTTACATAGAGAAATTTGAAGAGGTTGCCATAGAAAAATATTTTGGCCCCCTCCATCTTTTTCCTCCACCAGCTTCAAAACTTAGGGGTCACTCTTTACACAGCCTCCATCATAACCTACCTCGCTAAGCATGCAAACAAATTTCAAAGACAGACAATTGCTTATTTTAATAATTCATGACAAAAATGAAGGGTCTTTAATATCTTAAATTCCTCTCAGGTCAGTGTGGATTAGTTGCAACATTTGAGCAACTCAGGATTCTGAACTTTTATTAAATCTCACCATGTTAAACAGCTCTATCTGGTGGACTCTTTGAGTCAGTGCAATCGATCAAATGATCATCAGTCTTGACCCTGTGGTCTTGACCGAACTCAGTGTGAACAGTAAATCGTCACTAGTTTCTCAGTCCACTGGAAATCATTTGAATCCATGATGATGATGTGCTGTCCAGATCTAGAGGCACAGTCCCACAACAGGATGTTCCTTTGCCTTCGATGTGTTTTTACTATACTCTAACAGCACTATGTAAAATCCATCTGATTACTGCACTAGACAAAACTACTCTTATGCCAAAAACAAATCGCGACCCTCGTGTGACTGTGGATCCTATATTCTGACAAATAGAAGTGAAAACTAGCTGGCGACATACCATTCTTTAGTTCTACAGCTAAACCCTGTCGACAGAATAAACAACTCGTGCGTGGACAGTAAATGTTTCCTGCCTGGAAGACGAGATTCGGGGCAAACAATGTGCAACGTACGTCGGCGCGTTCTCTCCCGCTCAGCTCACGTGACAGCGCCCCCTTCCCTGATTGGTGCTTTTGAAATATTCCGCCTCGCCTCATTGGACGGTTTTGAACCACTGCAGCAGTGTGGGCATTTCAAAAGAGTGTGTGTGAGACCATTTCAGCGGCAGTCGTTTTACATTACACACTGGCGAGCCAGGCACGTTCAGGTAAGACTCCTTATTATTCTCCTTCAGCCACGTCAAGACGAGGGCAGCGCGATCTATGAGGTCAGGAACAGACGTGGACACGAGGAACCCGTGGATCCGCGAGAAAATACCGTCCAGCCACGTAGTATGAGCTAAGCTAACGTTGGTGACCTTTTCTAGCTCGCTTAGCAGGAAGCAGACGATAGACGTTAACGGCAGCCAACTTCAACAGAGTAACGAATATTGTAGAAGATTGATAAATGTGCTTGAATCTGAATCAGTGGCCGTCTCTGGACGAGCCTGTGGTGTAATTACCCACACGATGTAACCAATTCAGGCTGTTGATTGTGATTCTAGAAACGTTACCCCCCTTGTAGTCTTGTTAGTTGTTAGGCCACACTGGAAGTCAGATGGTGAGCTCAGCCCAGTGTCACCAGCTGATATGTCCCAGGAATACTCTCTGAGTGTGGAATGAAAGTTTGTGAAGTCATGATGGTTGTTGAAATGTGACATGTTCTTTTTTTCCCCTTCTAGGCAGTAATGGAAGACTACTTGAAAATAGAGAAAATTGGAGAAGGTTGGTCTAAATGTTTCCTTGTCTTCATCTGTTATACAAAATGTTACATATGTTATGTTGATAAGCTTGGCATTATGAAGGTACATTTACTTTGAATAGTTGTTTACGTCTTTTAATTACCGATGTCATGACTAAATGTAATTGTCACATTGGTTCTGCTTCATTTGATGAGAGTTCCGTTGTGTTCTTGCAGGTACCTATGGGGTTGTGTATAAGGGCCGGCACAAGGCTACAGGGCAGGTTGTGGCCATGAAGAAGATCCGTTTGGAGAGTGAGGAGGAGGGGGTGCCCAGCACTGCTGTCAGAGAGGTCTCCCTGCTACAAGAGCTCAAGCATCCCAACGTTGTACGGTATGCTCACTTTGTGGAGTAAAGGGAGCAAAGTCTAGCAGGTTTAAGGGTTTTAAAAGTCAAATAAGATTTTCCATCTTATGAAATGGTATCTGCTGTAAAGAACAGCTGCATCCTTCTGTTTTATAATGTTATGGGCACGGTCAGGTCGATGAAACTAAATCATTGGATACATTCGAACATATGTGGCTCAGAGCAGTGCCGACATAATGTGATGCATGCTGGTTTGAAATTTTGACTCTTCCCAGGACTGTAGAACATCACCATGTCACATGACACTGAAACATTGTAGGAGCATGACACTTAAAATGGCTTCAGAACACTTTTCCCTAATTGGCTAAAGGCTTCACTGACATGTGTGATGTGTCATATGTTTTTATTCTGTGAAATGTAGATCATTGTCAGCTCTGTTTATTTCTCTCCAAAGAGAATGTCATGTATTCGATCTCCCTCTGGTGGTTAGTTAGTTAGTTATTTACACATGGCCATTACACATTAGTTATAATTTTCCACGAGAAATCTGTAAAAACTGTTAACGTCAGAGTTTAAACAGTTTTAAGGTTGTATTTTTTTTGTATTTNACACTGTTTACCCCTAAGACTTATCGGCATAATGGTGAGTGGATAATGAGTGAATTTTCATTTTTCAGTGAACTTTCACTTTCAGGAGTGGTATCCATACTCTGAAAGGCCAGTGCAAAAACAATTCATATTACACCAAAAAGTACATTTCCATACTGTACGACACACACACACACACACATACATACATACATACATACAGAGGCTCTTTGAGGACATACATAAACATACCATATACAATAATATACGTTCATGTAGAAAACAGAGACAGGTTTCTTTTTAAAGAACATATAGAACTAGAATGGCAATCAGTAGAGTGCATACCTCTGCCAAGGCCCAACCACCCTCTTAAGAAACTAGATCTAGATTTTTATTTGAGTTTTTACACCAAATTGCACACACTGAATATCAGTCCCCTAAACATGAGTGTGTTTGTTTTTTCTCTCAAGATCCATTAATTATTTTCTGAAAAATAAAAATTTGGGGGGGAAATTCATCTCACAATGTTCAGGAAAGTGGGGAAAAAAATTACCTGGATCTGTCCACTGATTCAAATCAGTACCAAAATGTATTTGTTCCACCTTTGGAAGTGCCCCCTAGGTGTGTGGCAACAAATTTGCCTCGACTCTACAGGCGAGTTGTAGGCGTTATTTGTTTCTTATCACATACATACAAACACAGTTGGCACTTCATGTGTGTGTGTCTGTGAGTGTGTGTGTGTGTGTCTGAAGTAACTTATGTCAGGATATGAGATTTTGGTTTTACCTTCAGTTCAGTGACACTGCAGATCTGTGTCTCAACACAATCCCATCTCTGAGCTCTTTCAACCACATGTCTTGGTTTTTGCTCTGATGTACATTGTCAGCTGAAACCCCAGATGGTGCACGTCTTTTCAAATCATGTCCAATAAACTGAATTTGTCAGAGGTGGACTCCAACCAAGGTGTAGACATCCCCCAAAAAAAAGGAATGACAGACCTGAGTTAAACTTAAAGTCTCTGAATTCTTATGTCAATGTGATATCTCAGATTTGTCTTTGTTAAGTGAAGGTGTCCGAAGACTTATAACAACAATATAGTATGAACTAAGCCAGTGTTGTTTATTTCCCAGACTCCTAGATGTCCTGATGCAGGAGTCTCGTCTCTACCTCATCTTTGAGTTCCTGTCCATGGACCTGAAGAAGTACCTGGATTCAATCCCCTCCGGCCAGTACATGGACCCTATGCTGGTCAAGGTAATCATGTCCTAGTGTTTAATAAATAGCTGTTCATTTAAGGGGTTTTCATATGAACTGTTTGTACAAGAGTAGACACATTCATTATTGCAGTTGACAATATGACATTCTCTTGTCTCATCTTCTTCAATTTTAAATGAACTTTTGGCTGATTTGGTACAGTTTTGTTACAGTTAAGGATATGGTTAAAACAATAAAAATACAAGTTAATACAATAACTTAACTGTAATAGTAATGGCTTAATAATAATAATAATCCTCTAGATGCCAAAAAGTGCGAGTAATTACTCAACTGATTTATGCTAGATTGCGTCAATAAATTTGCAAGGTTTGTTATCACTGCATACGTGGATAGCTGAGAGCTGTTGGCAAGATGTTTGCGTTTTCAAATTGGAGCCCATGGGGTTTATCTACTCACACACATTCAAACTGAGCATATTCATAGCTCAGTGGTAAGGTTTTAGTCTTGCAAGTCCAGTTCTTCAGGTTCAATCCTGTTGTTATTCTGATTAAGCTTATAAATAAATTCTCTTCTCTATCAAAGAAATAGATATTTTTGGCATCTTAAATGCATTAAATACATTTTTGAAAGCTGGAAGTTTGTTCATCCTGTCAATTAGGGCTGACACTGATTTTCATAAATAACAACCGAACATGATTTGAAGTAGACCTGAAACAAACATAATTTGGTTGTATACTGTATGTTCTGTATCCAGCTGCATGTTCATGCTCCTCCTCTTCCCCCCCCACCCATCATCTCCTTTCAGAGCTACCTGTACCAGATCTTGGAGGGAATTTATTTCTGTCACTGTCATCGAGTCCTTCACCGGGACTTGAAACCCCAAAACCTACTGATCGACAACAAGGGGGTTATCAAACTGGCAGACTTTGGCCTTGCTCGGGCTTTTGGTGTTCCTGTCAGGGTCTACACCCATGAGGTGAGAATCCAATCCATTCACACTTCACTGTGATTCATGGAGTAAAACTACATGAAGATTGCGGTCAGAGATGTAGAGCTTTTTTTTTTTTTTTTTTCTACAGCTGTATAAGCAGATGCATGCTTAGCAGCAGCATCATCATCACCACAACAGTAAGCCTCTAAAGTGACAAACACAACCTGTGTTTGTGTTCTTAGGTTGTAACTCTTTGGTACCGGGCCCCAGAAGTCCTCCTGGGTTCACCCCGTTATTCAACCCCTGTTGACGTTTGGAGCACTGGAACCATCTTTGCTGAACTTGCCACAAAGAAGCCTCTGTTCCACGGAGACTCAGAAATAGACCAGCTCTTCAGGATCTTCAGGTAAATGTACTACACTTGAATTGATGTAAAATGAATAACTCCCAGAACTATGAAAACCTAAGAACTGAAACTGAAAAGTATTTTTTTCTTTATGTTCCAGTGTATCCAAGAATTGTGTACATAAAGCAAATTAATCCCAGTGTGGATTTAAAAACTATGGTGGTGTTTTATGCCCTTCTTGTGCACACAAGGCAACAACACATTTTCATCATGTGTGTATTAATGTAATCAATTAAAAAAACAGGATATCGTAGAAGTGGGACAGATGATTCTATAGTGATTTCAGCAGAGTTTGATTGTTATTCATATTTGTTTTATTAGCGTAACTACCATGTCAGCAAAGTTCCATTTCTCAGGTTCACTCTTTTCTCTGTCACCACTTTGTCTCCCTGTCACTCTTCATTTCCACAAGTTTAGAGTGGCCAACAACAAAACTAACTTGCTAAGTTGAGTAAATGGCAAGAAATGTCTCAACATCAACCGTATAGTAATAATGATATAACGTGGTAAGCTTCTTTTTTGATGATGTGGTACAGAAGTCAACACCAATCAGTAGGTTCGAGCCCTGAGGCTTGTCGGGTGGAAACGCCCTGTTAGGAAACGTTATTGACAATCTCATTTAAAAAGTACATTCTCCCACAATCACAGTGCAAATAAATACATCATTTTTTCTTTGGTTGAAAACCACAAAACTGTAATTTACACTGCTGGGCCCTCCTCAAATACTTCTGTTTGTCATGTGCAGGACTCTGGGAACCCCAAACAATGATGTATGGCCAGATGTAGAGAGTCTACCAGACTACAAAAACACCTTCCCTAAATGGAAGGCTGGTAACCTCTCATCAATGGTGAAAACTCTGGATAAGAATGGGCTTGACCTTCTGGCGGTAAGGAATGCAGCTGAACTGTATTGGAAGGAGTTAAATTGTAGTTATTTAGGAAAATATTGCATAAAATGTTTCGGTTTGTACTCTTACCACGTGAGGTTAACACTGGACCTTGAAGGTTTCTTTCTCTCCAAACCAGCCAGTCAGATAAAAGTCATTGTCGAAAGTATATATAAC